CAGAATGGTGGAGAATTGATTTAGAAATCGTTTAAAGTACTCCGCTTGAGAATCGGATAAGAATTGAGGAAGATATAGCCATCACCGTGGACCCTATAGGGGAAAAACACATTTTCAAGGGGATCCATCGAGAAAAATGGACAAAAAATCGACTAAATATTATATTTCGTCTCAGGATTTTGATGCAAAATGGTGGAGAATTGATTTAGAAATCGTTTAAGGTACTCCGCTTGAGAATCGGATAAGAAGTGGGGAAGATATAGCCATCACCGTGGACCCTATAGGGGAAAACCCCATTTTCAAGGGGACCCATCAAGAAAAATGGACAAAAAATCGAAAAAATATTTTGTCTCAGGATTTTGATGCAGAATGGTTGAGAATCAATCTAGAAATCGTTCAAGGTACTCCGCTTGAGAATCGGATAAGAAGTGGGGAGATATAGCCATCACCGTGGACCCTATAGGGGAACAACCCCATTTTCAAGGGGATCCATCGAGAAAAATGGACAAAAAATCGAAAAAATATTTTGTCTCAGGATTTTGATGCAGAATGGTGAAAAGTCGATCTAGAAATCGTTTAAGGTACTCCGCTTGAGAATCGGATAAGAATTGGGGAAGATTTAGCCATCACCGTGGACCCTATAGGGGAAAAACACATTTTCAAGGGGATCCATCAAGAAAACTGGACAAAAAATCGAAAAAATATTTCGTCTCAGGATTTTGATGCAGAATGGTGGAGAATTGATTTAGAAATCGTTTAAGGTACTCCGCTTGAGAATCGGATAAGAAGTGGGGAAGATATAGCCATCACCGTGGACCCTATAGGGGAAAACCCCATTTTCAAGGGGACCCATCAAGAAAAATGGACAAAAAATCGAAAAAATATTTTGTCTCAGGATTTTGATGCAGAATGGTTGAGAATCAATCTAGAAATCGTTTAAGGTACTCCGCTTGAGAATCGGATAAGAAGTGGGGAAGATATAGCCATCACCGTGGACCCTATAGGGGAACCCCATTTTCAAGGGGATCCATCGAGAAAAATGGACAAAAAATCGAATAAATATTTCGTCTCAGGATTTTGATGCAGAATGGTGGAGAATTGATTTAGAAATCGTTTAAAGTACTCCGCTTGAGAATCGGATAAGAATTGAGGAAGATATAGCCATCACCGTGGACCCTATAGGGGAAAAACACATTTTCAAGGGGATCCATCGAGAAAAATGGACAAAAAATCGAATAAATATTTCGTCTCAGGATTTTGATGCAGAATGGTGGAGAATTGATTTAGAAATCGTTTAAGGTACTCCGCTTGAGAATCGGATAAGAAGTGGGAAAGATATAGCCATCACCGTGGACCCTATAGGGGAAAACCCCATTTTCAAGGGGACCCATCAAGAAAAATGGACAAAAAATCGAAAAAATATTTCGTCTCAGGATTTTGATGCAGAATGGTGGAGAATCGATTTAGAAATCGTTTAAGGTACTCCGCTTGAGAATCGGATAAGAATTGAGGAAGATTTAGCCATCACCGTGGACCCTATAGGGGAAAATGGTTTCAAGGGGATCCATCAAGAAAAATGGACAAAAAATCGAAAAAATATTTTGTCTCAGGATTTTGATGCAGAATGGTGGAAAATCGATCTAGAAATCGTTTAAGGTACTTCGCTTGAGAATCGGATAAGAAGTGGGGAAGATATAGCCATCACCGTGGACCCTATAGGGGAAAACCCCATTTTCAAGGGGACCCATCAAGAAAAATGGACAAAAAATCGAAAAAATATTTTGTCTCAGGATTTTGATGCAGAATGGTGGAAAGTCGATCTAGAAATCGTTTAAGGTACTCCGCTTGAGAATCGGATAAGAATTGGGGAAGATTTAGCCATCACCGTGGACCCTATAGGGGAAAAACACATTTTCAAGGGGATCCATCAAGAAAACTGGACAAAAAATCAAAAAAATATTTCGTCTCAGGATTTTGATGCAGAATGGTGGAGAATTGATTTAGAAATCGTTTAAGGTACTCCGCTTGAGAATCGGATAAGAAGTGGGGAAGATATAGCCATCACCGTGGACCCTATAGGGGAAAACCCCATTTTCAAGGGGACCCATCAAGAAAAATGGACAAAAAATCGAATAAATATTTCGTCTCAGGATTTTGATGCAGAATGGTGGAGAATTGATTTAGAAATCGTTTAAAGTACTCCGCTTGAGAATCGGATAAGAATTGAGGAAGATATAGCCATCACCGTGGACCCTATAGGGGAAAAACACATTTTCAAGGGGATCCATCGAGAAAAATGGACAAAAAATCGAAAAAATATTTTGTCTCAGGATTTTGATGCAGAATGGTTGAGAATCAATCTAGAAATCGTTTAAGGTATTCCGCTTGAGAATCGGATAAGAATTGGGGAAGATATAGCCATCACCGTGGACCCTATAGGGGAAAATGGTTTCAAGGGGATCCATCAAGAAAAATGGACAAAAAATCGAAAAAATATTTTGTCTCAGGATTTTGATGCAGAATGGTGGAGAATCGATCTAGAAATCGTTTAAGGTACTCCGCTTGAGAATCGGATAAGAAGTGGGGAAGATATAGCCATCACCGTGGACCCTATAGGGGAAAACCCCATTTTCAAGGGGACCCATCAAGAAAAATGGACAAAAAATCGAAAAAATATTTTGTCTCAGGATTTTGATGCAGAATGGTTGAGAATCAATCTAGAAATCGTTTAAGGGACTCCGCTTGAGAATCGGATAAGAAGTGGGGAAGATATAGCCATCACCGTGGACCCTAGAGGGGAAAATAGTTTGAAGGGGATCCATTAAGAAAAATGGACAAAAAATCGAAAAAATATTTTGTCTCAAGATTTTGATGCAGAATGGTGGAAAATCTAGAAATCGTTTAAGGTACTCCGCTTGAGAATCGGATAAGAATTGGGGAAGATATAGCCATCACCGTGGACCCTATAGGGGAAAAACACATTTTCAAGGGGACCCATCAAGAAAAATGGACCAAAAATCGAAAACATATTTTGTCTCAGGATTTTGATGAAGAATGGTAGAAAATCAATTTAGAAATCGTTTAAAGTGCTCCGCTTGAGAATCGGATAAGAATTGAGAATCGGATATAGCCATCACCTTGGACCCTATAGGGGAAAAACACATTTTCAAGGAGATCCATTAAGAAAAATGGACAAAAAATCGGAAAAATATTTTGTCTCAGGATTTTGATGAAGAATGGTAGAAAATCAATTTAAAAATCGTTTAAGGTACTCCGCTTGCGAATCGGATAAGAATTGAGGAAGATATAGCCATCACCGTGGACCCTATAGGGGAAAATGGTTTCAAGGGGATCCATCAAGAAAAATGGACAAAAAATCGAAAAAATATTTTGTCTCACGATGTTGAAGCAGAATGGTGGAGAATCGATTTAGAAATCGTTTAAGGTACTCCGCTTGAGAATCGGATAAGAAGTGGGGAAGATGTAGCCATCACCGTGGACCCTAATCGGATAAGAATTGAGGAAAATATAGCCATCACCGTGGACCCTATAGGGGAAAATGGTTTCAAGGGGATCCATCAAGAAAAATGGACAAAAAATCGAAAACATATTTTGTGTCAGGATTTTGATGCAGAATGGTGGAGAATCGATCTAGAAATCGTTTAAGGTACTCCGCTTGAGAATCGGATAAGAAGTGGGGAAGATGTAGCCATCACCGTGGACCCTAATCGGATAAGAATTGAGGAAAATATAGCCATCACCGTGGACCCTATAGGGGAAAATGGTTTCAAGGGGATCCATCAAGAAAAATGGACAAAAAATCGAATAAATATTTCGTCTCAGGATTTTGATGCAGAATGGTGGAGAATCGATCTAGAAATCGTTTAAGGTACTCCGCTTGAGAATCGGATAAGAAGTGGGGAATATGTAGCCATCACCGTGGACACTATAGGGGAAAATGGTTTCAAGGGGATCCATCAAGAAAAATGGACAAAAAATCGAAAAAATATTTTGTCTCACGATGTTGAAGCAGAATGGTGGAGAATCGATTTAGAAATCGTTTAAGGTACTCCGCTTGAGAATCGGATAAGAAGTGGGGAAGATGTAGCCATCACCGTGGGCCCTATAGGGGAAAACCCCATTTTCAAGGGGACCATTTTATAGGGGAAAACCCCATTTTCAAGGGGACCTATCAAGAAAAATGGACCAAAAATCGAAAAAATATTTTGTCTCAGGATTTTGATGCAGAATGGTGGAGAATCGATCTAGAAATCGTTTAAGATACTCCGCTTGAGAATCGGATAAAAATTGGGAAAGATATAGCCATCACCGTGGACCCTATAGGGGAAAAACACATTTTCAAGGGGATCCATCAAGAAAACTGGACAAAAAATCGAAAAAATATTTTGTCTCAGGATTTTGATGCAGAATGGTGGAGAATCGATCTAGAAATCGTTTAAGGTACTCCGCTTGAGAATCGGATAAGAATTGGGGAAGATATAGCCATCACCGTGGACCCTATAGGGGAAAAACCCATTTTCAAGGGGATCCATCAAGAAAAATGGACACAAAATTTAAAAATATTTTGTCTGAGGATTTTGATGAAGAATGGCGGATAATCGATTCAGAAATCGTTTAAGGTACTCTGCTCGAGAATCGGATAAGAATTGGGGAAGATATAGCCATCACTGTGGACCCTATAGGGCAAAATCTCATTTTTAAGGCACCCCATAGCGAAAAATGGACCAAAAATCAGAAAATATTTTGTATTAGGAGTTTGACTCAGAATGGCTGAGAATCGATCCAGAAATCGTTTAAGGTACTACACTTGAGAATCGGAACAGGATTGGGGGAGACATAGCCATCACTGTGGGCCATAGAGGGAAAAATCCCATTTTCAAGGAATCAAGGGATCCCATCAAGGGATCGATTATAAATAAGATATATACATATATACATAAGTATAATATATGTATAATGAAACAATATTAAGTACTTACATGTGACAACTGGACGGAAACCATTGGCATCGGCCAGGTACTTCACTCCCACCCGCAGACCTTCGGGAGTGATATAGGAGTAGGCGCCCTCCACCTGTTCTTCCTGGTCTTCGCGGTTACCAGTGTTTACGGGAATACCCTTCTCCTCTCCGTGGATGCCGTTCTCAGTCTCATAGCTGTAGGCATAGGTTCCAGCACCGTAGTTCACATCGTTGGCTTGCTCCACAATCCTGGCCTGGGCGGCAGCAATGTAGGGATTGTACTTCTTGTAGAAGCCATCGTAAAAGCGACGCAGGTTGTACAGATCGCGGTTCCGGTAGTACAGGTCCCGGTAGTAGGGGTTTCGAAGATAGGGATTGTACTGGGTCTGTCCTTCACAGGCAAAGGCAAACAAGGCCAAAACAAAGAGGCACGAAAACTGAAGAAACACGATTTTAGATTAAAGGTTTTATTTTTTGATGAAATTAGCTCAGCATTTACCAGCTTCAAAGACATTGTGATTGGACGTCTTTCAACGGTGAACTGTCCGACAGAACTGTAACACATTTTGATCCAAACAGATCGTTTTATAACCATCATTCAGATCCAAAAAGCAAATTTTGCATAAGCATCGGATTTCTGGCCATAAAATTCATTGTATTCGGTCAAAAAAATTCGGGGCGACGAGCCGGAGAGTTTGTCAATTTCCGTTTAGAATTTAGATTGGGTTTTAGTATAATTCGCGGTTCTTTTGTCTATAATTAAAAAAAAAACAGATGCTCTTTGGAGCATCTTGGAGCAAAACGGTTAACAGAATACACTTAAAAAATGCCCGAAAACACAGCTGGGGGGCGTTAAGTATTAATTCGTATTTAGACATACATACTTATGAATATATAAATTTAAAATTGGATTATAGAAATGTTATACGGTAGTGAATTTTGAGATTTTAATGAATAGGAATTGAGTTATGTTTTTTGTTTTTTTTTTTTCATAATAATGCACGTGTAATATAGAAAGGGTTACTATTGGTTATGCTTCGAAAGTTTTTAATTTCCTTGAGACGAGTATTTTGTTCTTAGATTAAAGATGTTTTTTAACTTTCTTTTCCATATATATGGGCAGTTTCCTAAAGTATTTCTTAGTAACTCCGCTCAATTGCCTCAAATATAATTTATTGTTTCCACCAGAGGTGAATAAAGCATGAATGAGATACTTGAGACCCGACCACATGAATAAATATGAATGAAGTTGAAATTGGATGGATGGGTGGATGGGTGGCAGGGTGACATGGAGAGAGAAGATCTCTGAGGGGGGAGAATTCGCCGTCTCGATTGCAACGCCGACCTTCACATTTCGCGTGCGATTCGGTGGCACTCAACGGATGCAGCAACAGCCATGTAATTGTGTGTCTACTACACTAGCCAACAAAGTCACGTGCCGGCCAGGCAGGTTTTGGTTTTATTAATTGCCTTAATCGACGCTCCCCTTCCCTAGGCTTAACTACCAAAATTAGCATTCGATAAAATAGGCTGAGAAACTAACAAATTGTGATCAATAAGCAATCAGAGTCTGAACCTAAAAGTCTACACAAACGCGATTTCCAATCAAAACATAACCCAACTGGGATCTCAACTGGGACCATTTGTGTCCAAACATCGGCCATTCGTGTATTTTATGGTTTCGATTTCTATAGCCACGGAATGCGTTAAATAAGAGCTGTACGACCCGCCCCTAGTTCGGACAATAGATCTTTATTAGCTGATTTGCATAAACGAGCCGCTGAATATTAGCCATCTAATTAATTGGCTTGAATTTATTTACCATTTGTTTTTAAATATTCATTTTATAAGCCAAGAAGTGTCTAAGATGTATTTTAATTTTTTGTTTTATAGATCACCACCTTCTGGGAGTGCAATGAATACCAAGAAAATGGTTCCGTTTTATCGGCTCCTGGTAAATTTTTAAAGTGTAGTAATTAGAATATAAATGATGCATTCCACACTTTAACAAATTGTCCCACCTGTGGGTGGCAAAACAATTAGAACATAATTTATTCACTACAGTGAAATTTTGTGGTGAGCGACCCTCTTACCCTTTAACGAGTATAAAACCAAGTCTTCGAGAAAACCGGTAACCAGTTCGTGGCCACCAAATATTGGATCGAAATGTCAGAAGTCACGCAGAAGCAACGTTCCTTCAAGGATTTCTCCTACATGGCGGAAATAATGTTTAAGAGCCTGGGCTACGATCTCATGGGTTCTGTGCGGCCTCGGTGGCAAAGCATTCTGATGCGCTGCTATTTCGTCCTGTGTGTAATTTCTAGTCTCTACGAATCGATCTTTGTGACTTACAGGATCCTGGAGTGGGAGTCCGTGGCCGGAAGTCCATCCAAAGTAATGCGGCAAGGTCTGCACTTCTTCTACATGTTCAGTGCTCAGGTGAAGTTTTTCACTTTCATGGTGTACCGAAAAAAGTTAAAGGTCCTCATCAACAACCTAAAGGATCTGTATCCCATGGAGGTGGATCAAAGAAGGCAGTATGATGTGAACAGCTTCTTCTTTTCGCGTACCACTCGCAGTGTCATGTATTTCTATTATCTGGTTATGATTCTGATGGCTTTCCACCCGCTCCTCCAATCTTGTATTATGTTTGCCATAGGCATCGGAAAATCCGACTTCCTCTACTTACGTATTTTTCCCACGCGTTTGAGTTTTGACTCACAAACCCCTAAGGGCTACATTTTGGCCTATATCATAGACCTGACCTACAGTCAGTTCATAGTGAATGTTAGTCTCGGCACTGATCTCTGGATGATGTGTGTATCCAGTCAAATATCAATGCATTTTGCTTTCTTGGCCAAGATTTTAGCATCGTACTTGCCAAATCGGAAAAGGGAACATGAGGATCTTGATTTTTTGGCAAACCTGGTGCGCAGACATCAGGTTTTTCTTAGGTGAATAACAATATCATGTCAATTAGTAACTTTATTTATATCAAAATCTAATCTACAGCTTACAAAAGGATGTCAATCAAATATTTGGTCTCTTGTTGGCCTCCAATCTTTTCACAACTGCCAGTTTACTTTGTTGCATGGCTTTTTATAGTGTGGTGCAGGGTTTTAATATAGAAGGTATTTCCTATTTGATGCTTTTTTTCAGTGTGACGGCCCAATTTTATATGGTTAGTTCCTATGGGCAGATGCTAATAGATGTGGTAAGCATAGGGATTTATAAGTAATTAATATATAAAACTAAAAAAAAAATCGATACCCCTTGTAGAGCACAAAAATTGGTGCTGCTGCTTATGAACAAAAGTGGTATGAAGGCTCCATAAGTTATATGAAGGATACTCTTTTTATTATGGCACGTTCCCAGCGTCCTTCAGAAATATCCGCCAGGGGCATTATCATTATATCATTTGATACTTTTAAAACAGTAAGTTGCTGGTGAAATAATGTAGTTTTAAGTTTTTAATTTGTATTTTTTTTCAGTTAATGACCATTACCTATCGATTCTTTGCTGTAATGAGACAAACTGTTGGAAAGTAAAAGAAAGAGATGTATATTATTATTTATTAGAGTCAATAAATTTTTTTTACATATACTTAAAGATATTTGAGCTATTTTTATAAGTTCTTGAAACCACAATACCTCAAAAAATATTATTATAGTCACACACCGATCATGCTTTGGGTTTGTGTAATTTAGACTATGGGAAATAGTTAAGAAACATATTTAACAATCTAAAGGTTGAGAGCTTCGGATTAGGGGGAGTTGCCAGAGGCCCACTCCCGCGTATCAAATGTCTCGGCCGCGATTTGCATTAATTAGCCATGCGCCGTAATCGACAACACCCACGTGCTTCTCCAGATCGGTTCCTCTGCCATTTGAGTTGTCTATCAATTTGCATAAATCACATTAATAAACTAAGCCCAAAGAGACTCACTCGTGAGATCCCCAGACGGATAAGACAGCGTAAGTACCTTTAGATCTGTTAGAACCAAGGCCAGGGGGTGGATCACTATGATTATTCAAAGTGCTCCAGTTACCAGTTACCCGTTAGCTACTCAAACCAGTTTAGGCCGCTAAAGCAAATCAGCAGTGTTTATGCCATCCTTGACCATGAAACGGTCTGCTTTGATATAAGCTTAAACCAAAAATGCGCAAGTCGCCATATAATCTGAGACTATGGTGCAGTAGCTGTAATATCGACATGACCAGAACCACTGACATTTAACCGCGGCAACTGGTTCGGTGCTTCTGCTTTTGCTTCAGCTGCCGCTGCGGTTGGCAATTATTTATTTATGCCTTCATTGACATTAGCATTAGACCGAGTGCAAAGTATGCCAGACTGGACCATAGACCAAAAAGGCGGCTCTCGGGTCTCTGGTAGCTCTAGGTAGCTCTTACGCAACAACCACTTCGATGCCTACAACCAGCGATTTGTGGTGAAGCACTTCCAAAAATCTTTGGAGTATTGACTTTTTGGCTATTTGTATTTGATTTTGTGACGGGGGAATTACATTTGATTAGGGGATAAATAAAATATGATGTATTTTCGACATAGAAGATACATTGAAACAAGTAACTCTTTTTAATATGAATTTTTATCCAAAGCTTAAATTTTAAAAGATTAGATTATTATTTTAAAGATTAAATAACTAAAATGGAAATCATACTTCAAACGAAGTATCATTTCAGTGACGAATGCCAACTATATGTTGTATCCATTTTGATGACGAAAGAACGAACAAATTCATGTAAATTAGAAAAATGTATCCAGAAAACTGAATGAAATTATTAAATAAGAAACATACGATGGTAAAATCCAGAATAAATAATTAAAATTATATTAAGTATAAGTATATCATAAAAAAATATATAAGTATAAGTATATCATTAAAATGATATACTTGCTTGTGCATACAGTGCACAGTGTACTGTCATTAATTGGTAGACACAGTTAGCACCTCGGTTGAGTGCCATCATACCCACTCGGTATCAAATTGCAGACGCGACTCAAAACGTCTTTAATACAAATTGCACTATCCGTGCGGTGAAGACCGGCCCGCGACCTTCAATGTGGACAGCGGTCGAGAACAGGTTGGGCAACCAGAATATGGAATAGAACCTCACCCGCGATCTAGCCAACTGACATTTGGACGGCCAACAGATCGGATTCCTCCAGCTTAGTCCGAGTAACCATGCGTAACATTTCAAGGTTGTCCCCCTAATAATATTTTGTACATTTAAGCCCGGAGCCCCAGAATGGGAACTGCTTGGCCCAAACATAAATTCTGGCAGACAGCTTCTTGACATAAAATTTAATTGGAAACTTTAAAAAGCAGTAGAATGAATATTAAAATTAATGTAGACGCAATGTCTTCATATGTAATTATTTTGGGCGAGGAAAGACAAAAGACAACAATAAACCGCCAATGGCCACAGACTTTGACTTCCACCTCGAAGACCGAAGACTTCAACTTTACCTTTAACTTAGCCAGCTTTGGCAATTGTCTGTACTAACTTGACTAAGTTTTTTGGTTTGGTTTTGTTTTTTTTTTTGGTTGCCAAAGACAATAACAATACAATATGGCTACAATCTTTGGGACAATCTTGTCACGAAATTCTGTCGCTGTCTGTGTCGGAGTTGCAGTTGAAGCCAGAGTCTGGCCCCATCTGCTGGCCCAAAGCTATTCATTAGACGCGCCTACACTTTGGCAGCGACGACAACAACAACAACCCAAGCAACAACATCTTGGCGTTTAGCAATTTCTGGCATTTTGACCCCATGCACGGCTTCAGTTTGAGGTCTGCCCATGGGCTTGGGTTTTTGGCTATTGGATGCCACATAGATACCACTACCTCACTGCACCACTGCTTCTTCGTAGCTGCCTGACTTTGATTGCAATTGCCGATTAATGGCAGCGAATTTAAATGCAATGGTTCACTCCCCCAACTCCCCCAAAAATAGCGCTGGATCTGCCCCATTTCGAGTCAGGTGGCAGCCCCGGCGGCTAAAGATTGATATCTTCTATATTTCTATATATATTTATTATCTTTTAACTGGGGCGTTACGACTTGATCGTTTATCTTTAAGTTTTTAAGACTCTATACACTAACCGAAAGATTTTTGAAAAATTTAAATTATTATATTTCGATAAACGAAAATGTTTTAGAACTCATACGGAAAGGCCTGTGGACAACAATCCACATGGGGGAGAACCGCATGCTTTAGATTGCTTAAAAGATAAAATAAACTATATGATATAAGAAATTATTCAAACAGTCAATTCAAATGTAGTAAGCTCCTTAAATCTTGATTAAGTACAACTCTAGTGTTGAAAGCAAAGTTTTTGATGGCAAAACAAACCTAAATAAGAAACTTATATCGCTCCTTCAATTTTCTATGAAACTAAAGTTAAAAAATAAACTCATTTATAAATATGAAATATTCAAAAAAAAAATAATAATTAAACCAAACTTATTACATTACCATTTTGATAACAGCTATTGACCTAATCAATTTTATGTAATTTTGATTATATTTACCCCTGTGTAGCTGATGCAATTACAGAATAATATATTTAAATGTGTGTCTATTGTTCCTGCACAGCTAAAAAAAAAAAAGAAAAAAAAACATGAGACCATTCCATAAATTAAAAGTACTTAGTACAAAGTTAGTTCTTTATTTTGTGTCAGACTCACCGTCTTGGGCGTTGAATTTTTAGTTTAGTCTTGTCTCCACTTTTTTAGTGTTTTTTTTTTTTATTTTTGCAACTACCCACTCTTCAACACCCTCTCTGTGAGTGCCCGCCATAAGACTTTGTTGTTATTTGTGGGCTGTTGGTTTTGTTTCGTACTCGTGTCGCAGCTTTTGCGTCTTGTCTGTGTGTGCGACGCTTTGCCAACTGAAACTGAATTGTTTGCAGCCCCGTCCGTGCAATTTTTCGTATAAATAGACTCACCTGCCGGCAAGGGGCATCATTAAATAAAAAGCACTCGTTCAATTAAGAACTCCAGTGAAGAGGACGCACAGTTGCAAGGATATTACTTTCAATAGGATTACACACTTGTGCCGCGAACAAGATGAAGAATGTAAGTGATTCAAAATAAGGAGCTTCTTCTAATGAATAGTTAAAAAATATACAAAAAGGATTTAACAGTTTTTATAAAATTGTAAATACATAAATACAAAAGCATATGATAAAGACAGCATAATCGAACAAAATATTCTGTAAAAAGGGACCTCTCAACCTGAGACTTTAGTTTATTTCCGAAAAAACATTAATATATTTTTGAAAAATACTAAAAACGCATAAAATAAGAATGTGTCTGACTTCCTGGCTGTACATTTTTACACATAAATGCCACAAAATAAGGCCCATGCCTAGTAACGTTCAGGTTATAAAAGTTATGACCCGCATGCTCGTAAATCAATAGCATAAAATTAACACATATAACGTATAACATGTGAAGCATTTATTGTGGCACATACTCGTATCCCTAAACCTTCCGCAATTACGAATCCAAAAAAATCTTGAAAAAGATATACAACTTTGGTTTGCCATTTGGAGTGGTTTAAAAGGCAAAGGCAATTAACGGCAGACGTGTGCTGTCAATGGCAAAAAAAAACTTGAATAAAAGAAAGAAACATACATATATGCAAGTTGCATATGCGAGTTGCCACGCAAAGGTCAGAGTCAAACGGGCAACACCTGGCAGCTGTCCATCTGAAAAGCTGAAAAGTTCAGACACGAAATGGGAAAATAGAGTGCATCAAAATCGGAAAAGACCATTCAGTCAAATATGAAGGTATACATAGGTATGTAGATTCCATACCGAGTAAGATGAGACATGGGACCACGCCCTGTGATTCTTATGATCTTTTGTGAGCAAAATAATTAAGTCTCGATGATGAGAGTCGGGTCTACCATACATAGTGTGTGTTATGTGGAAATGTGGAAAATATTTAATTGACATCTATTTGCCGACCTCAAAAGGTGTTTGAAAAGCCTGGTATGCGAGTATGTGAGAACAGCAAATACAATTGCAAAGGCAATAAATCTTGGGTCGCAGCAATAGAGGCAGTGGATTGCATAATAACACTGGGGCACGATTTCAAGATGTTTATTAACTCAGTTAACATTTACTGGCCCGCACTTACCAATATTTTCTCTTTTTTATTTTCCGTTGCGATAGTTTGCTTTCTGTCTTTTGGCCGCCACCTTACTGAGCTGCTGCCAAGCGGCACCCCAAAAGGCCGACGAGCCCATCGCCATCATCAGCCAAGAGTCCAACATTGAACCAGATGGATCCTACAATTATGCGTAAGTACACGACTACACGGTCATCTAAAATAAGCTTTTTAACATTAATATAAACTAAGCTTTAAAAAGTAATTTATTTCATGAATTTAAGTCTTTTTAATGATTCAATGAAAAAAAAAGTTTATTGAAAAGTTTATTCTTTTTATCTATGTTTCGAACTTTAAACTTTTATCTAATTGCTTTTAAATGGCTACACGGCGGTCGGTTTTAAAACTGAGTCATGTAGCAATCAGCTGTGGTCTGCCAATAAAAGATAAAATTTAAAGCATACTTTGTAGCTGACGCTGAACCAATATATACATCCAAGATTCATCTTCGATTTATTATATAAAATCACGTGAGAATTTCTCAGTTTGGAAGCCAAAGAAGCCGAACTAATCGTTTATATTCCATAAAAATAGCAGCCTATGCTTACAGACATAATAAAAAGTTTTTTAATAACCCATATTTTAAATAAATATCGAGTCTGAAGGAGTCTGCACACAAATTTTATATATTATTTACAAATCACACACACAGTCAATGATGAAATACTTATACAAAAAGCACTAATACTAGGCTTTTATTTATTTCCAATTTCAAGGTGATTTTGATTAAAGAGTTTCGATTATTTGATTGCAGCTATGAGACGGCAAACGGCATCAAGGCCGAGGAGACCGGAACCCTGAAGAAGGCCACTTCCCCGGACTCCAGTGATGTGATCATTGCCCGAGGCTCGGTGTCATACACCTCTCCAGAAGGCAACCTCATCACCCTGACATACTCCGCAGATGATGAGAATGGTTTCCAGCCACAGGGCGACCATCTTCCGACACCACCACCTATCCCCCCTGCGATCCAGAAGGCCTTGGACTACCTCCTTAGCCTGCCGCCCGCAAAACGTCGTTAAGCGCAGAAGGAAGAGAATTACCAACCGGATGTAGACCCATGATTCTGCCCCTTGATTCCGACTCGAAACTACAAATGTGAAGATGCTGCTGTTGTTATTGCTGCACCACCCACTGCACTACCCAATCTCCTCCTAGACAATCCACATCAAGACACACCAGCTAAACCCCACAGGAATATCTGTCTTGGGGGCGATCGGCCGAATTCACTGACTGAAGAACACAGACTAAAACACGGTTTTGTGGGACAACACTCTGTTCATTGACACAAGATACACTCGTCTGCTTTCTTGCTTTCTTCCACGTCCCTTTTACGCGAATTTCTTCAGATCTTTTAGTCGCCGGAACTTTGTTATTTTCGGACTTATGTGATATCGTCGATTTATCAATGAAATCAAGAAAGAAAATGTAAAAAAAAAAAATATATACAAGACAAACAAGCAAATTACTTAAATAATATACAGGAATATTATATCCACAGCAAACTGTTTTGTGTAAATAGTCTGTAAATTAGAAACATTTACACGTATGTAGTCTAAGAACTAACATCGGCGAGGATATGGCCTGACTACGGGCTAGTTCTCGTCGCCAACAACTATGAAGATATATTCTTTAGCCTTAGCTGCAAATAAAGAATTAATGATTCTTTCGAAAAGTAAACATCCAAATGGGTTTGACTTTACGATCAAAAATATACTCGGCCAGCATAAACAAATGACCTCTAAATTCAAGAAAATTATCCGGCCCACATCTGGTTTCCGAGACTGATTCGCCGAATAATTTTGTATAAAGTGGCTCTTCATATGCATTGCATTTGTATCCGACGGATTGGGCTTCTGTGAGAGCCATAAATCCGAAATCGCAATTCCTCAAATAACTCCGATGATAGATAAAAATAATAAATGCTCAAAACTAGTTGCACAAATTGAGGAATCGGTTTACATGGGAATCGCGTCACTTCACTTGATTAGCTGGTTATTCATAGATTTTGGCCAAAAAAAAGTCCGCTTTTATTGAGTTTTGGTACGATTTGGTGTCTGCTTTGCACCTCAAGGCAAGGCGAGTTGATAGATTCATTTTATGCAAAGTGGCTAGACGCAGGCTGGCTGGCAAAAATGTTGTCACGTTAGTTTTATTCCATATGGAAGAGAACCAGAATCGGCCCAATGGTGGTGACAAGCTCCCATAGAGGATGGCACAACATTATTATTATTTATTTATTTTCAATAAAAACAATGTGGAGGCGCCCCAAAGTCGTTGTGGTCGTTAGAGTCGTCTGCACCAAATTTCACACCCATTTTTAAAGGCCAGATACGATACAAACGGAACAGCGAGAAACAAGTTCAATATTATTTATTGGCCACATTTTAATTTCATGTTAAATAATTTTAGTACAGGAATTTGTATTTTATTTTGGTTATTGGACTCTGCTAATTTGTTTGCCTATATAAGACTCTTTGTTTACCGGATCGCCATCGCCAGTCGCTCCGTAACACTCAAATTGGATTGTACTAACTTTCGGAGCACCATGAAATCCCTACTGATTCTTGCTGTATTTGTGGTAGCCTCCAGTGCTACCTCCCTGGAGAATAACGACCCCATTTCCCAGGAGTCCAATGTGGAGTACAATGGCAAATACCATTACCAGTAAGTTGGCGAATAAGTGGCTGAACCCTAAGAGCCCTGAATGTATATCAAGTTTATATATTTTAGCTACGAACTGCGTGATGGCTCTAAGGCCACGCAAGATGGTGTCTTAAAGTCCGTGAATTCTAAGCAGAACGGTGAAGCTGTCCATGGCAAGTACTCCTTTGTGGGCGACGATGGCCAGACGTACGTAGTTTCCTACACCGCCGACGAGAACGGCTACCGGGCGGTGGGCGACCATCTGCCCACGCCTCCACCCACTCCCGAGTCAGTGCTGAAAGCTCTGGAATACATCCGGACCCATCCCTACACCGCTCCGGAGAAGAAGCACTAAGCCCCAGACGAGAACAAAGCCCAAATGTGATTGGAACCAAAAGAACTGAAAAGCGACATTAAAAAACATATTCAAAAATACGCAAAAATCGAATTGATGTCTTGGATAACCGGAAACAGAGCGGCTACTTGGGCCAATGTGTGCCAAAGATTTTGTGTTACTTAGCAGTTTTTACTTGGCCAGTTTGGCGGTCCATCTCGCTAAACAGCTACCAATTGAAAGCTAAATCGTTAAACAAGCAATTGAAGCAGAGTGGCAAAAATCGTCAAGGTCGTAGCCGAATAGTAGAACTCCGAAATGGAATGAGCATAGATCAATAGGAATTATGTAATAGGGCCAGGCATTGGGGAGCAGAAACTGAAAGTGTGATTGATTTTTGTTTTCCTTTATCGAACTAATTTACATTAGTATGTTAATTTCGAAGCTTCTACTTAAGACGAGATAACATTTTGAATTCCGGGAGAGACCTTTTCTCACAAACCAAAAAAAAAATCGAAACGATTCTTATTTTTTATTCCGCCAACTTGGCCAAGTTCATTGACCATTCTAGAAGGGCCCTATGACACAATTGTGGTTAATATTCGCAGCATATAGCCGAGAGGTTTACGGCTATAAGTCCGCAGTGTTATCAATTCGATTTATGGCCAACAATACTCTACATTTTTTATGGCCGATTCCCGTTAGATTTTCGGCCGATTTTTTTCCATAATTGAAACGTGATTGAAATTAGTTATATGAGTTGGAGCTTTTTGTTCTTTTTTGGGGACATGATATTTTGAATTATTTGGGGTAATAATGGGCTGGGAAGTAATCCGAGGTATGTAAGTATCGGCAAAACCCTCAAACTCAAATCCTTAACGGCATCCCTGTCCCCAACGGAACTGAACTCCTTCGGCAGAAAAAGAATACTAATCGTATATTCTGCGCAAGCATACCACGTAGTCTCGTCAAGTTATCTGATATGAGATCAAGGATGGAGAAGCCAGGAGGGGTGGAGTACAGAAACTGTCACCTGCTGACATCGGCGCTACATCTTCATCTCGCGCTGTATGTGCGTTGTGGCGGTGTGATCTGTTGATGTTTACTCATCGCGAGCATTAAAACCAAAACTGAAAACCGAAAAAAATGCTGCGAAAAAAACCCAGTCTGAGTCGGAGCGCCCGCTCGTAATTTCTGCGAGTGCTTCGAAGCTTATCTAGTGCGCCCATCATCGTAATGCCGAAGCCCCGAAGAGGGACTATATAAAGCTTGGCTTTTCTTCGGTCAGCCAACAGTCGATCGCCAAACCGCCGGATATCATCTTTGCTCTCAGGATATTCCATAGAAACAAATACAAAAAACCCCCCAAAATGTATAAGTTTATACTCCTTGTCTGCTCTGCCATGCTGCTCAGCTATGTCCTGGCTAGGCCGCAGGATCAGAGGGCCGTAGCTGCCCCCACTGCCACCAGCACAACTACAGCGGCTACTATTGTGAAACAGGATAACGTGAACAATGCCGATGGCAGCTTTAATAGCAGGTTAGTAAGTCCTAAAATTTTATATATGGATTTTATAATTTTAATTAGAATTATACTTTGTGAAAAAGATACTAATTACTACTTAAACAAAACGAAGATTTGTAAAAAACATCTTAAAACAGCAAGAAACTTCAGTAAACTAAAAATATTGTGTTTCTGATGTATTTTGTTTGCCAATCCAAACTATCCATAGCTAACTATTCCCGAGCCATAGTTCCATACTTTAAAAAATAGTTACAAACAACAGAAGCTTTGGAATTTTGGAATCTATAAAGAAATCTTAAACTTCCTTCCATACAATTTCATTAAAGTGATTTGAAATTAAAAAAGCAAAAAAGGAATAGTATAACCCAAAATCTATGTAATATCTCTAAATCTTACCCCAGCTACGAGACCTCAAATGGCATTCGCGTAGAGAACATTGGTTACCTGAAGAAGATTATAGTGCCCAAGACGGAGACCGCCGATGGACAGGTCATCGACGAGCACGAGGAACTGGTCCTGGTACAGACAGGATCCTACAGCTACAGCGATCCCGATGGCAACCTGATAACCCTGCGCTACGTGGCCGATGAGAACGGATTCCAGCCGGAGGGCGATCATTTGCCTGTGGCCCCGCAATAATACAATCTTCTTACTATTGAATATCGCTAGAAAGTATTATGCACCTGTCTGAATGCCATACGAAATTGAAATGTCAACCTTCCGCGTAGTTAGTTTTAAGCAAACTCACACTCCAAACTCACTCACTCACCAGCAAAGAAAAATACAGAAAAAACCGAGAAATAAATATTCGAACCGATAATAAAAAACAACAACCGAATGAAGTTACTTCTCAGCCTCGTGTGGCCTATAACATTACATTGCCAAATTGCCCTTCACGCTTGCGGTTAACACTGATGATCTGGTGATGATCATGAGCCCACTGGCCAGATTGTTTACACTGACGCCCCTGATAGTAACCCACGGATATGGATATGGCACACATGTGTATACGGAGTGTTTTGTTTGCCCAACTCAATGGCGCATACCAAAGTATCCGAAATATCGAATTTTGGCCAAGACAAGCTCGTTTAATTACTCTATTAAACTGTCATTAGGCTGTGGAATATGGTCATTCAATATGGGGGGCAATCGTGGGATCAGTTGATCGACCATTGAGGTTCCGAAATGTTCGCCGGGTGTTGCTTTACTCTTTTATTGGGCGTTCTGATGCATGTACATCCTGTCCTGTCAGCCAGAGGACTACCAGTGAGCTTATAAATCCAGGCGATTTCGTATTAACTTTAATAACTCTTCCTCTAGAATATGGGGTACTTTATAGAAATGAAGGATATCCTTTGCGAGGCCAATCCGGATTACTTTAAGGACTTCTCTTGCCGTATTCTGCAACCGAAAAACAGGAGCCTGGAAGCCTCCGTAAATATTCTTCAGGCAATAAGCAATGGATTTACTGGATCCCTCAGGGTTTCTATACCAAAAGCTAAAAGAGTTATGACGCAAATATTCGAAATCACATTCGATGTGTGCAAAGTTCTTCGAGAGGGAAAGCGACGGATGCTAATAGATCTTTTGGTCAATACTTTGGCCAGAAGCAGAAATCCCAAAAGCTTTAGATGTCCTTTTCCCAAAGTATACAGTTCTTAATAATGTTTTAAATAATTTAGTTTTGATTGTTTTTAGGGAAAATTTGTGTCCAATAATATCACTGTAACCGACTTGCCACCTATGTTAACGGAATCGGATTTCCTCGTGCACTTGGACTTTTTTGTTCCGAAAGTGGCCAATGCCATGAATATCACCCTTAATGGGCATCTTTTTGACGTCGCCAAGGAAAAAGTCAGAAAAAGGAAGTTTCTTTAAGGCTTAAACTTTAGCCCGAAGCCTTTAAAATTCACCCTCAATGGCCATCTTTTTTAGGTTTCCAAGGAAACGGAGAGAAAAAAGAAGTATCTTTAGGGTGCTTACATTTGAAGGACTTTATTTTAAAATTTTCGGGAAATAAAAAATTTAACACCGTATTAAATTAAACACCGACTAATTTGGTGTCTTCTATTTTCATAGATGATGAAATAACTCTGTTTCATTGATGATCTATAAATGGTATATTGTATAATTTTACTTGATTTTGGGTCTGGAAGCTTTGAAAATCCTTTTTGCTCTCTATTCTTCTTTATTTTTTCTTTTTGTATTATTTTTTTTGTGTAGTACCAAAATAATATTCATAAAATACAAAGCTACACCCGTCAATAAAAATTCCACAATATCTTTTTTACATAAATACTTTTTACATTATCTCTTATTTTTTAGCATACTTTGAGGCTTTTACAGCTTTAATAAAAATTAGGCGGTTTTAAATTAAAAGTCACCGGAATTAACAGAAAAACATAATTTATTAAGTTAACTGTCCTGTTAACTGATTCTTAGGAATTGTTACGCTTTTTTAACACAAAATGGAATGTTTTATTCGTTTCAATACAATATCAATTAAGCTAAGTGTGTGTAATTATTATATTTTTTATGGATGTGTTGGAAATAATAAACATTGACAAACTAGAAGAGAATAGTTTAGTTGAATGGTAACAGATCGAGCGTAATGTTCGGCCCTTTGTTAAACTATTTGTGCATTTTCTGGTTGTTCTGCAACCTGATAGGCTACAGTGAATCCAAGGTAAGATAGTTACATATTTTTGTACCAAAAACTTAAATAAATTGTAGAGGCACCTAAGCTGGGATAGCTTTGACTGTCATATCGGACAGCAATATGCAGATGGGATCAAGTGTCGGGTGTCTGGGGCGCGAAGATCCCTTTTGAATGTGGATGTTAACCTCAAATCTGAGCTGGACGCCATCAAGACCTATGTGAAAATCTCCACCAGATTCAAGCCAGCCATCACCTACCGGAAGTTCTTCGACATCACCTTTGATGGCTGTCGGGTAATATCGGACATGACACAGGGTACCCTTGTTTCTAATATGTTCAATGCCGTTGTTAAGTCAAGCAACCAGCCACGAAAATGTCCCATAAAACAGGTTAACCCATCGCTGTTTTTTGATTATAACATTTTTTGATGGATCTGTTTTTTCGTAGAGCCTAATATACTATCGGAATATTAGTATTGAGGACGCATTACCGGTGTTCGTACCCTCCACTGATCTGTTGGTCCAAGTCGACTTCTTCTCGCGAAGAAGCTTATACTTGAATGTGAGCTTGAGAGGAACCATCACTGAAAAGTGATATTCGCATTTGGATTTCAGTTTAAAGTCTAGACCACTTTAACGGAGCGTAAATAAAGACATCAGCTGAAGCTAAATGTAGTCCAGCCATGGGCCTGTTTATATTTAAGCCCACTTAAAAGGCAATCATGAAAAATATCAATTACTGGACTGTATAATTATGGAAATTATAGCCGGTATAGTTTGTTTGCACTTAAAGCCCGTGTTGGAGCGTCCAAATTGGACAGTGACAATTGAAACATCATGGATCAATTGGTTTGGATACTTTTGCTAATCTTCTTGGTCAACTATACGGATTCGGCCAAGGTAGTCCAAATTCCATTAATTTAAACTATTAGGTTATTTTAACCATTCTTTGAATAGTCCTCGAGGCAACGGCTACGTTTGATGTGGAAAACCTTCAGCTGCGAAGCAAATTCCAACTACATTTCGGGACACAATTGTTTTATTGTGGAACCCGAAAAGTCTCTGATAACTGCGGAGCTGAACTACTTTGTGGATATATCCCAGTACAATGCCACGTTTAAGCTTTTCATGCCCCGACAACCCAGCCGGCAGTACCAGAAGGTGATCGATGTTAACGTGGACGTTTGTCAGTTTTCAAAGGGTCTCCATGGCCACCGCTTTATGACTATAGTCATCAAGGGCTTTGGAAAGAAGGCGGCTCAACTCAAGTGTCCCCATCCTAAGGTAACCTATATTCCACCACTTTTTTACTACATTTTATTAATATTATTTTTTAAGGGCAACTACTCCTATCCAAATATAAACATAGCTGACAACTTGCCAGCCTTCCTGCCCGAGACCGATTTCAAAATCGAAATGAACTTCCTAACCCTCGAAGCCCATGTTTTTAACACCAGTCTTACTGGGTTCCTGTACGATCCTCTTAAAAAGAAGTTTAAGCCTAAATAGGTATAAAATGACAAATAAAAATCCAGGCAAGTTGTGAAGAATTTAATAGGACGTAGGAATTAATCAGATACTTTATGGCTGGGTACTTGTCACCTAAGCGGTACGTGATCTTTATGTCAAGTTCCGTTGACAATTTCAAATCGCTGCCAGGGCATTATTTACGAGTCAAGCTCAAGATTTGCCGCATCGACAAGACATTTCACAATACCCGCCGCCAATTTACCAACCGGCAGCAGCCTGAGTATTTATGGCCAGCAAACGGGGTTCTGTAAGCCAGTTAGCTGAGACGGCTGGCTCCGCCGGATGAAGCCGAATCCAAATCCAAAATGTCAAATGTTTTTCATTAGAACAGCAACACGCTCGACAAATGCTAAGAATGTAAGGGTGAAATCGTTTGACATTTGCAGTTTGCCGCATTTTCCAATGCGGTTATTCGGACTCATCGGGTCACTCTGTAAGTAGGCCAAGAAATTGTGGTCCAGACGACAACCACTCCAAAGCTAACCTTGCCAGCTTTCGTTTTCATTTTCATTATAGCCGCAGTGCGTTGCAAGGCATCTTAAAAGTTGCACAACTTGCTATGAATCATCAATAAAAAAAATCGCAAAAAATTTGGAGGCTTGGCGGCCCATTGAGTTTCGAGTTGTAGGTGCGGATGACGAAGACTTGGGCAAAACACGTTAGCCCAAAAGGGGGAAAGGCTGTTTGTCGCAATAGACGTCAGTGTTTTCAACTTTTGGCTCAATGACACAGAGAAAAAGTAGTACTTGGTTCAAAAGTGGGTATTAAAGGAATATGAAATATTCAACTCGTATAAAAAGAATAATTTTTTAAGAATTTGATGAAAGATATTAGATCTCCTAGATTTATAAGAATTTCTTTAAAGCTCATGGTTGTTTGACTAGGCTTATAATTTTAATAAATACCTATTCTGAAAATAAATTTTGTCCAGTGCTTGAGCTCTTAATGGGTTGTTCAACCCGTCACTTTCATTGCCTTTTGCAAGTTGTCTCGACCATGATTAAATTAAGCTTTTTCTTTACTTTTGGCTGATGGCTGGCCGATGGGCTGATATGTGTTCTCTTCAGCCCAAAAAGCACTGCAGCCTGCAGATTAACCCAATTGTTTGGAAACTAAATAACATTTCCCAAGACGGGTCTGGCTTTGGACTCAATTATCGTCTTGCCTCATCTGCCAGGCACTATAACAAAATATTCGCTTGGCTGGCGGCATGAGAATGCGCATTTGATTCCGAAAAAGAGTCCAAATCCAAAAGCTCAAATCCGAAGCTGGGAGCATCACCTCATCTCGGCACTTCTGGCAAGGAGAGTGGAAAACGATCAGAAAGAGCGACAGAGCGAGAGCCGAACAGGCGCTTTTTGGCCAAGACAACACCGATCAAAAAACTCGTTCTGGCTTGTTTCTAAATAACGGCATTGTGAAGATGAACGACCGGACGTGCCAGACCGGGGGATGGACAATTTGCAGACATTTGAGCCGGGCCTATGCATGGGCCAAATAGGGGCCTTAGCTGGGCTAAGGTGGGGACCACAATAAATAGGCTAGCTATGCACTGGAAACAATTTTCAACTAATTGCTTAGCAAATTGCTAACATATTATATCATATATTACAATATAAAGTTGTTATTCTTAGCATTCTTAACTATGTATGTGTAAAAAAAGGGTTATTTAGTAATTAAGAGTGATATAAGACCTAAAGTGCTAAAATACTTTAGACATAAAGTTTAACTAAAGTACAATTTTTAATTTTTTTATACTTTTTTGTCTATGAAAAAGGCCTAAACGAGAGCGACAGTGAATTGGTTTTTTTTTTATTCTTAGCATTTAAACGTCGTCAAATCTACAAACAACAATTACCGATCAGTTGGATCAGACAGCTAACACAACAACAAAGGCAATAGCAACTGCCAACTTAGCTTCTCCATCTTCAGATGCATCTATATGTGTGAATGCATCTTTATCTGCATTTGCGTCTGTTTGCGTGGATATCGCTCTCCCATGGAAGTTGCTCACCTAAGTGTGGGTATTGGACGACTGCAGCCTGAGGAGGAGGATCGGTTCGGTTCGGGTCGGAACGAAACAGACTGGATCGCCTATATAAGGCTTAAATAGGGCCGCGCTTGGCACAGTGTCTAACGGAGTTGCTTTCACTATTCAGCCAAACGGGCGACAAGCGGGCCAATTCAGTGTTAAAAAAAAAAACAAAAAAATCAAGTGGCAGATACAATCCTTAAAAAATGAAAGTGCTAGTAAGTCTGGATTCTTCATGGTTCATTGGATTAGACCCCCCGAATTAAAGCCATTAAAGGAATACAAGAAAATTAATTAAAATTTTAAGAAAGTAAACTTTTAAAGTTAAAGTTTAAAATTTAAACGATTGAAAATAGTGAAGTGTTTTTAGTATTTCTTTAAAAAGAAAATAGTTTGCAGGGAAGGTTTAATCCTTACCCCATCTTAAGCCTAAGGTCGCAAGAATTGTTCAAAAATTAAAGAAAAAGATTATTAAATTCAGCTATTTGTGAAGAAGCTACATTAAAGGATTTCGAAACTTTTAATTAATTTTCAGATACTCCTCGTACTATTTGCCTTAACCTGCCAAGCCCAGCACCACCATCAGCATCAACAGCATCAGCATCCCAATGCCAACAACATTCCAAGGGATGACAAGCCGGATCATCACCGACATGAGGACCACCGGGAGACGAGCACCTGGATACCAATCATTAAGTACAACAAGGAGCAGAGTGAAGATGGCAGCTACAAGACGGAGTACGAAACGGGCAACAGCATCGTCCACGAGGAGACGGGCTTTCTAAAGGACTTCGAGACAAATCCCAACGGGGTGCTGGTCCAGCACGGCCAATACTCGTACCAATCGCCGGAGGGAACCCTCGTCAACGTGCAGTACACGGCCGATGAGAACGGATTCAGGGCCATTGGCGATCACATACCCACTCCGCCGGCCATTCCCGAGGAGATCCAAAAGGGACTGGATCAGATCTATGCCGGCATCAAGTTGCAGCAGGAGCGTTTGGAGCAGAGGGCCAAGACTGATCCGGACTTTGCCAGGAAGCTGGAGGAAAGACGGGTTGCCAATCAGAATGGCCAGTACATTGGGCTCCTGGAGAACCAGTAGAGTGAGAGTGGGAGAAAGTATTGTCCTGTTTCCCAGTTCCCACGCTCCCGCCCCCACCGAAACAATGATCCTGGAGACGTGACCACTTTCAATTCTATATCGACAACAACAAGACTGTGATTTCACTCTGCAAGTTCTACTCTTTGAAATCGGTACTATTTTCGGTTTCTATCGATTTCTATTTTAACTTTTGAGATTTCCAACTAAAAAAAATCCTAATTTTATTTTATTAATGAGCGTGAAAGTTTCTCCGCCTTGAAACAATAAAAGAAAAACTAACGTTTCCATTATGCCGAACCTACTTGATGCATTTACTATAATTTTTATCATTTTTTAACCCCATATGGTATGAGTGAGAGGTGTTAATGGTGCTCAGACAGACGTGACAAAGCGCTTTATGGGTTTTCATAATTTTCATTAAATTTTTCCTCATTTACTGTGCATCTTTTTGGTTGCTTTATTGTTTACTTCGCAGATCGAATAACTCCATGTGGCAAGTTTGTTGATCCCATTCCATACCACGTTGGGTTTTCCAATTTTCCATATTTCTGCATACGGTAATACCATATATTTCGACATACCATACATACTACCGTGGAACTTCGAGAGTTGCTGCTCCAGCTGCAGTAGCATCGAGATTTTTCTTTTAAAAGCCTCCTCGACTGGTTGACGCTTGTTGCATAATTATGACAGTTTGCCAGTGCCATTCGACTTGGCATGAATCTTGGCCAACAGACAGTGGGATATGCCGGGTAGCCTCGGAGAAGGCGGAGGCAGCGGCAGGTAATTTTACGAGCCGGTTGAAGTGGTCTGTGAATGGGTTACTAGCTCAGCCAAGCTATCTTCATTCTGCCAATTATACCATAGACTAATATACCGTTGACTTTTTTAATTTTTTGGGTGAAAACTAGCCCTAAGCTCAATAAACAAATACACTTATATAGAAACCAAGTTGGTCAAGAAACCAATACAAAAAACTAAACCTTTGAGGCCACAGAACGGCAAACGGTTTGGCCGAATATTTGCATAAATCGTAAATATTTTTGCCATGAGATCTACCAACAAATAAATCAATTCCGCTGCATTTTCTCCACCAAAGCAGACCAAAGAGAACCGGACTCCTATAAGAATGTCTATTTGCCATTAAGACTCAACGCTCTACGCGCATAATTAAGATTCGGGGGAAAAAATAATAATAACAAAGCTGAACAAAAGAAAATTTTCTATGGGCCATGATTGGAAAGAATCTTTTTTCTGGGACGGTGTCTGGCTCTGAGTGGCGGCTGAAATCGATTTGGCCAAGTCAGTTGCCGTTTAGTAGTCGTCGCGTGCAGATCACAAGAAACTGGAAATTGTATCCAACAGATACAGTATCTCGACTAGTGTTGAAATCGAATTTGCGGGAGCACTAAAGCGAGCGGTAGCCTTATAATCACGGCCATCAGTGTATTTCGATGAGGCCAAGAAGTGTGCTAAATGTGAAATAAGCTAAGAGGAAAAACGTTAGAGATAAAGTAGCAACAACAACCACAAGTACAAACATACGTGCGAATATTGAATTGACAGAACAGCAAAACAACGAATACAATTAAAAAGCAACAACTTGAAGTTCTTTTTGTTTTGAAACCGAGTATAAACCAATACAACGCAAAAAAATAATTCAAAATCTCTGTTCAACTCAATAACAATACAACTTACAACAAAAGTGGCACAAGCTCTGCCAAAAGAAAACTATCGAAACGATATTTTTCTTTTTCATTTGAATATGGTTAGTCATCAACAACAGTGCCTGCTGTGGCTAGTCATCCAACTCGTGGCCACTCTGGGTCAACAACTGCAAGGAGCTCCGCGTCCCAGGGGGCGTATACGCATTGCGGACATGCAAAATCCAGCCCCCGGAAGTGCGTTGAATTGGCCCAGTCTGACGCAGCCTGGCAGCCCTATCAGTTCCACTGTGCACACTCACATTCCCCTTTTGCGTGAGGAGAGCTCACAGAAACCTGCCATGCCCAGTCAGGAGGCGGTGGTCTACGGCAACTGGAAGCCGGAACACCCAGAGAAGCCCGACAGCATGGAACCGGAAACCGTCACGAACTCGGACCAGCAGCCCAGAGAGCGAGTCTACGGAAGATTGGAAGCAATGCTAATGGGAATGCCAGCAGATGGTAAGACTGAAAATACTTCTATTATATAACTATCATAAAATAATAAATGTAGATTTGATGAATTTACAAAATGTATAATGAATTGGCTTAACCATAAGCTTGGGGTCTTAGTTTTAAAATCACGAATTATGATCCCAAAGCGTGAATGAAGTGGCTAGGTCTCTAGGTCGAAAGTGTGACCTTTACTAATTCCTATTTTATTAATTGCATAAACACTTTTGTTTCAGATATTGATGCTAAGCCTTCGAGTTCTAGCGAGGAACAGATCGCACCAATTGTCCCTGGAAGCTATCAGAACCCTGTACACTCACGCCCCTCCAGCTCCAGCTTTGAAAGACCATCGGAAAAACTTGGACGTAAAAGGATTACCTCCCAACAGCCACCTCACCAATTCGAAATGACAAGAGCTAACAACACGAATCCCTTGCTCAAAGCTATGGTCAAAACAATAAACGAGTCTATGGAAACTACGACAACAATAGTTAGGAACAATCCCCTGCCCACCGCCGACGACAGCTGGATGCCACTTTCGTACCCGTATCCGTATGACACCACAATTGCAGCACCACCGGCCACGAGCTCTATGATACCAGGATTTATGCAATCCTCGGTGGTGCTCCCTCCGGCGCCCACTCAGGCTACGCGATCCACGTCGGAGCTTCTAAACTGGCCCACTGATTTCATAGATAGCGCCTCCAATACTCCCAGTCCGAAACGAGTCGAAGGAAACTATATGTCTAACATTGACCGCCGAGATGAGAGCATCGCTGATCCCGTGGATGAATACAAGTACTATGAGGACTCGCTGAACTCCGCGCAGATGCATAGCGAGCTGAGTGTTCCAGAAACGATGCCCCTGAACATCACCCGGGTGGGCATCCCATACGAGGATCGCAATGCATCCGAGGAGCCAACTATTTGTGTGCCTCTAACCGTCTCAGAGACATCCCACTCCTCGGATAGTTCCCTGCCGCTGATGGTCGAGGTGGAGCGAGTCTACTGCTTCCCTTTGCCCAAGGTGGAGGTGCGACAGGGCCATTTCCGACCGCAAGTGGAACAGGTGACGCGTTCGGATCCGAAGGACTTTTCTGGCATGGAGTTTCAGCCAACAGAGTCCCCAATGCCAAGTAATGCAACTGCGGGTGCTACCCGGAGATCACTTAGTCTTTTGGTTATCGTAGTCGTAAGCATGAGCTGGTGGCCGAAGCTCAGGATCTAAAATTAGAATTATTATATGATCATTTAGACACAACTCAGGGACCCCAAAAGAATATTATTTTGATATTAAAGTTAAGATTAAAAAAAAATATATTGTTATGAGAAGGGGCATTCAATTTAGTTCCTCCTGGAACTGGGGCAGCTCCAACGTGGCATTTTCGATTTTAAAAGGAAAATAATCTAAAATATATTTTTGCACAGGATTTTGATACAGAATGGTGGGCAATCGATTCAGAAAACGTTTAAGGTACTCTGCTTGAAAATCGGATCAAAATTGGGGACGATATAGCCATTACTGTGTTCCTATAGGTAAAAACCTAACACAAAAATAGACAAAAATTTAAGAAATATTTTGTCTCTGGATTTTGATGCAGAATGGTGGGGTATCAATCCAGAAAACGTTAAAGGTATTCCGTTTAACAATCGGATAAGAATTGGGGAAGATATAGTCAGCACTGTGGGCCATATAGGGTTGCCCTGATTAAAGATGGTGTTCCTTTTTGTAATCGAATATTAATTGGAGGAACTATGAGTCTCAAAAGATGGCAAAATTGGCAAAATCGGAAATTGACCATTTTTAAGCGGGACCTCTCGGAAAAATTTTGAAAAAATTGAAAACTTCATTTAAGGACTGTTTTAAGTGAGCGATTAAGCTGTCTCAAAAGATGGCAAAATTGTGAAATCTTGGAAATTGAGGGCACCCCTTGGAAAAATTTCAAAAAAATTTAAAACTTCATTCAAAGACTGTTTTAAATAAGCGATTAAGCTTTAGTTTGCCCCGATCACAGAATGGTTTTCCTTTCTAAAATCGGATATACATTGGAGGAATTATGAGTTTTGAAGGATAGCAAAATGGGGAGAAACGGAAATTGACCATTTTTAAGGGGGGCCCCTTGAAAAAATTTTGAAAAAATGTAAGACTACATTTAAGGACTGTTTTAAATAAGCGATTAAGCTTTAGTATTTTTTTGATCACAGAATGGTGTTTCTTTTTCATATCAGATATATAAAGAGGAACTATGAGTCTCAAAAGATGGTAAAATTAGGAAAATTGGAATTTGACTATTTTAAAAGGGTTCCCTTGAAAAAACTAAAAACAAATTTAAAACCACATTTAAAGAATCTTTTAACTAAAGGATTAATCTTCTAAACGCTTTGGTTACAGAATAACGTTTGTTTTTATAATCGGATATATATATATATATTAATATATCGAATATATATTAAAGAAACTATTAAAAAGGAATTGAGAAACATTAAACCTCAAAAGTTAAAAAAATAAATACCGAAAGTCGACAATTTTTAAAGGGGACACCTTAAAAAAATGTCTTTAATAATTTAAGCAACATTTCAGAAATGTTTTTAAAAATGGCAATTCGCATTTAGATGCTCTAATTACAGAATGATGTTCCTGTTTTGAAACAGATATAACCTGGACGAACTATAAGTCTCCAAACGCGGCAAGAAGAAAAAAATCGGAAACTCATGGTGTTTTAGGGAGATTTCTTGGAAATTTTTAAAAATGAATAAAAAACAACACTTTAAAATTCTTTTATTGAAGAAATAAGCTTCTAAATTCTTTAATAACCGAATAGTTTTCTTTTTAAACTTGGATATAAATTAAAAAAAACTATGACTCCTGAAAGACAGCCGAACAAAAAAATTATAAATCGTAAAGTTCTAGGGTTATTTGTTAAAAAAATTATATTATTATATTTATTTAAAATTGGCATCAATTAACAAAAATACAATTAGCAATATTAACAACAGCGGCAACCGCTTAGCCACTTTCACATAACGCAATTTGAATGTGATGTTTCCGGTGAGTTGCCTGTAAAAGCATTTTTTCCTGTATCTTTTCATTACACTTTAGTTTGTCGGTTCTCTGGTAACATTGATATAAAAAAATCTAAAAATCATGATATTGATAAATTTAAAATAACTCCCCACTAGCACCAAAAGTCCATCTCAAAGGTGGATGTACCATCTCTCAGAGTAGGATTTTTTAGTATATTTTAGTTTTAGCAATCTCTGGTAACATTAATATAAAAAAGTACTAAAAAATAACTTGCCATCGATAACTTAATACTAATTCCTTGCTGGTATTAAAATACCATCTTATAAACCGATGTGCCATCTCTCTCTAGTAATACCATCTCTAGGAGTAGGGTTTTTGTAGTGTATTTTAGTTTTAGTGTTTTCTGGTAACATTCTATGAAAAAGTGTTAAAAAATAACAAGATCGATAACTTTATACTAGTTTCTTGCTGGTTTAACATATAGGTAAGAAACTTCATTTTACAATAGACTTGACTGTGATACATTAATTTAACAAGAAAAAGGGACATTTTATAATTTGGAGAAAAAAGGAGGAAAAGGAGGAAACACAATGTCACAATGTTGAACATACAGTTTTTAACATATTTAATAAACTTCATTTTACAATAGACTTGACTGTGATACATTAATTTAACAAGAAAAAGGGACATTTTATAATTTGGAGAAAAAGGAGGAAAAGGAGGAAACACAATGTCACAATGTTGAACATACAGTTTTTAACATATTTAATAAACTTCATTTTACAATAGACTTGACTGTGATACATTAATTTAACAAGAAAAAGGGACATTTTATAATTTGGAGAAAAAGGAGGAAAAGGAGGAAACACAATGTCACAATGTTGAACATACAGTTTTTAACATATTTAATAAACTTCATTTTACAATAGACTTGACTGTGATACATTAATTTAACAAGAAAAAGGGACATTTTATAATTTGGAGAAAAAAGGAGGAAAAGGAGGAAACACAATGTCACAATGTTGAACATACAGTTTTTAACATATTTAATAAACTTCATTTTACAATAGACTTGACTGTGATACATTAATTTAACAAGAAAAAGGGACATTTTATAATTTGGAGAAAAAGGAGGAAAAGGAGGAAACACAATGTCACAATGTTGAACATACAGTTTTTAACATATTTAATAAACTTCATTTTACAATAGACTTGACTGTGATACATTAATTTAACAAGAAAAAGGGACATTTTATAATTTGGAGAAAAAAGGAGGAAAAGGAGGAAACACAATGTCACAATGTTGAACATACAGTTTTTAACATATTTAATAAACTTCATTTTACAATAGACTTGACTGTGATACATTAATTTAACAAGAAAAAGGGACATTTTATAATTTGGAGAAAAAGGAGGAAAAGGAGGAAACACAATGTCACAATGTTGAACATACAGTTTTTAACATATTTAATAAACTTCATTTTACAATAGACTTGACTGTGATACATTAATTTAACAAGAAAAAGGGACATTTTATAATTTGGAGAAAAAAGGAGGAAAAGGAGGAAACACAATGTCACAATGTTGAACATACAGTTTTTAACATATTTAATAAACTTCATTTTACAATAGACTTGACTGTGATACATTAATTTAACAAGAAAAAGGGACATTTTATAATTTGGAGAAAAAAGGAGGAAAAGGAGGAAACACAATGTCACAATGTTGAACATACAGTTTTTAACATATTTAATAAACTTCATTTTACAATAGACTTGACTGTGATACATTAATTTAACAAGAAAAAGGGACATTTTATAATTTGGAGAAAAAGGAGGAAAAGGAGGAAACACAATGTCACAATGTTGAACATACAGTTTTTAACATATTTAATAAACTTCATTTTACAATAGACTTGACTGTGATACATTAATTTAACAAGAAAAAGGGACATTTTATAATTTGGAGAAAAAGGAGGAAAAGGAGGAAACACAATGTCACAATGTTGAACATACAGTTTTTAACATATTTAATAAACTTCATTTTACAATAGACTTGACTGTGATACATTAATTTAACAAGAAAAAGGGACATTTTATAATTTGGAGAAAAAAGGAGGAAAAGGAGGAAACACAATGTCACAATGTTGAACATACAGTTTTTAACATATTTAATAAACTTCATTTTACAATAGACTTGACTGTGATACATTAATTTAACAAGAAAAAGGGACATTTTATAATTTGGAGAAAAAGGAGGAAAAGGAGGAAACACAATGTCACAATGTTGAACATACAGTTTTTAACATATTTAATAAACTTCATTTTACAATAGACTTGACTGTGATACATTAATTTAACAAGAAAAAGGGACATTTTATAATTTGGAGAAAAAAGGAGGAAAAGGAGGAAACACAATGTCACAATGTTGAACATACAGTTTTTAACATATTTAATAAACTTCATTTTACAATAGACTTGACTGTGATACATTAATTAAACAAGAAAAAGGGACATTTTATAATTTGGAGAAAAAAGGAGGAAAAGGAGGAAACACAATGTCACAATGTTGAACATACAGTTTTTAACATATTTAATAAACTTCATTTTACAATAGACTTGACTGTGATACATTAATTTAACAAGAAAAAGGGACATTTTATAATTTGGAGAAAAAGGAGGAAAAGGAGGAAACACAATGTCACAATGTTAAACATACAGTTTTTAACATATTTAATAAACTTCATTTTACAATAGACTTGACTGTGATACATTAATTTAACAAGAAAAAGGGACATTTTATAATTTGGAGAAAAAAGGAGGAAAAGGAGGAAACACAATGTCACAATGTTGAACATACAGTTTTTAACATATTTAATAAACTTCATTTTACAATAGACTTGACTGTGATACATTAATTTAACAAGAAAAAGGGACATTTTATAATTTGGAGAAAAAAGGAGGAAAAGGAGGAAACACAATGTCACAATGTTGAACATACAGTTTTTAACATATTTAATAAACTTCATTTTACAATAGACTTGACTGTGATACATTAATTTAACAAGAAAAAGGGACATTTTATAATTTGGAGAAAAAAGGAGGAAAAGGAGGAAACACAATGTCACAATGTTGAACATACAGTTTTTAACATATTTAATAAACTTCATTTTACAATAGACTTGACTGTGATACATTAATTTAACAAGAAAAAGGGACATTTTATAATTTGGAGAAAAAAGGAGGAAAAGGAGGAAACACAATGTCACAATGTTGAACATACAGTTTTTAACATATTTAA